TAGAGTAGCCACAACTATTCTGAGAACGCGAACCACCTCACAACGGCAGCCACGAGCGAGAGTTCGATGTTCGGTAGAGCCCGCCGATACAGCCCAAAGATGGAGAAAGGCAACCTCCCGGTTTGTCGTCTGCTAGCGGAGTCGGGCGCGAGCCCTCTCTCTCGTTTTACCCCGCCGAACCCGCTGAACTTCCCGGATGTGTGGAGAGGGCGCTGCGGGCGAACAAAATGGTGCCGCCCAGAAAGCGCTAAATGGAATGGTCTATAGCGGAGGCCATACCCCTAACGGATTGCTTATAAAGTTGCGGAAGTGACTGAACGATCTACTAACACTCTCAACACGGGCTGTTTAACTTTTTTGACTTGGGCAACGTGATGTTTTCAAGCAGTTGCATTATGTCATCAAAGGCAGTTTCATTTTAATTGTCTGCTGCAATACCAAAGTCATGGTTCGTGGGTCCTTATCACTTCCGGTACTTCCTTTTTATAGGAAAAACACCTCCAGGTTAGAAATTTAAAACAATATTAAATTTCTCTAATACTGGTGACAGAGCCTGACGTGAGATATGTTTTCTGCTGTTGCAACGAGTCTTGTTAAAATCAGTAATATTTCTGTTTGAAAAATTCGTTGCAATACTTGAGCAACAATTGAAATTAATTATAACTCCACCAAAACTAATAATAGATTACACTGGCACTGAACACTCAAATCAAGCAATAGCTTGGTTGCAAATTCTAGCACCAGTGTACTGCATTTCAACACTGCATTGCCAATATGACTCTTCGCACTTAATAAAAAAGTTATTATTAAATTATAGTTCATTAGCTTAATGATCTACATTTCCTCTGATCAGAGTGTTGAATTACGAGATGGGGGCTATTCCAAGAGACAATTGAAATAATGTATTAAGTACGAGTAACTTTCGATCCGTCTCTCCGTGTTTATGCGACAAATGATGGCAGCCACCGGCCAAGTCGGATTCAAAAAAATTGGTTTGCTCTGTATGTTTAGACAGCCTTGATGGAGAGATGCACCTCAACGGGTAATCGGTCTCTTAGCTGTAGATGAGAAATTTAGCCAGTGCAGTACAACCGCTAACCTGGGATTTTTAACGTTCATCACGCGGTAGTGATCACTCGAACGCGTGCCGGTACGAAACTCATCCAGATTGAAACGGGCGGGGGCGGCGGGGAATCGAACCCAGGAGGCTCCCAGCGGAAGCTTTCGCTCCAAGCTCCGAGCTGAGACGCGTTAGCCCACTCGGCCACTTCCTCCAAAGTCGGATTCAAAATTAAGACTGCCATATATAGAGAGAGTGCGAATTTGGCGTACATGGAGAGGGGGTGGGGGCTTCGGTGTCGCTGCGTTGTTGCTGTAGTGGGGTGTTCTGTTTTGTTTTTTCTTGTATTTTGTGTGTTCAGTGTTGTAGGTGTATTTACCAAGGTATTTACCATGTAGCATTCAAGAGTCGGGGGACAATAAAAGCAAATTGGCGCGTCACAAAAAAAAAATTGTCTGTATTGAGCGCCATTTGGTGGAAGCTATACGAGGGGAGAAAGTTTCCTCCATTGGGCGAAGAAATGTGGCGATTTTCCTCCCTTCTTAGGGGAGGAAATTTCCTCCACGTTTTGTAGGAGGAAATTTCCTCCTTTTGTAGAGCAATATCAGATGCACGCGAGTTCCTCCTTTAAGGGAGAAAGTACTACTCCCTTTTTTTGAGGGTGCACCTGTGTGCTGTGTTATTCGCACCATCGCAACCCTCCTCGCTGAAACTGCCCGTTCTACTCGTAACAAATGGCTGGCTAACGCAAACGCGCTGAAACTCCTGCCAGCATTTCTTTATTTTACTTTATAATTGCTTGAAAACAAGTACGCGTAATCTGTCTTCTGAAGCGGTTGCAGAAAACGGTCATGTTCATGACATTTCAATGCGTACAACGGAAACCTATTCCCGGTGTCTATCGCTCGACGCCACCGTTGAGCAAGTTCTCTCCTCCTTTCCGGAATGAAAAGACATTTCTTAGAGTGTACGCAAGAGCGCCGCACTACAAGTGGGAGCTTTTGCCGTCACGTGGAGCACAGATTGAACTGGCGACCGCAGGACCCAAAATCCGCAGCGTATGGATATACGAGAAGTCCCTAATGAAATGAGACATCCCGGTCCCTTCGCACGCAACGCCGTTGCCAGGCCAAACAGAACAATTCTTATTTTAACGCACTCGCTTCTTCGTTAAAACCGCATAATGCACAAACACGCCAACCGGAACCATGCGGTAACAGCGGGATCCGGTCAAAATGGTCCCGGACAAAATGGTCCCGGACAGAATGGCCCCAACTGCCATTCCGGACAAAATGGTCCCAGCGTGGCATTATTTATTTGCTGTTTGCAGGTTTTTTTGTATTTTCTACTCTTGATGGATATTAGCAGCGGCCTGTAACACTATACACACAGTACGTGCAAGGGCTCCGTTCCTTGAACGACTTTTTGAGGGCTGTGGGTCGTATGAGTACATTTTCGTATTAGGCCTTCGCTCCAGCAGCGTCCGCTTCTTGTCTCTTAAGTGGTCTGTGTAATAAATACGCTCATAATTGCGAAATCAATTTTTGATTTTTTGAATATACAGTGTTCAGACAGAGCGATGCTGTTTCTGAAAAATAGAACACGGTGGTACGACAGGCTCGTTTAAAACAACCACGTCAAGAACCTGTATTACGTGTATGATAATGATTTTCATTTCAAGTATCCTTCTGAAGCTCGATAGTGCTAATTTGAAAACAGGTTCTGGCGATAAAAAGATATTGGTTACACACGTGGAATGTATCGGTAGAAATCAAGAATCTTTGAGAAAGAGAGCTACACGGTATAGATAAAAGAGATTTAAGATTTGTTTCAAATGATTATAATGAAAATGTTGATCTTATCCTTGAACGTGTGTCAAAATGAAAGTACCAAACCATTTTGTCCTATTAAGAGCGCTCAATGTATTGATAAATTCACCTGGGACCATTTTGTCCGGGTTGGCACCTGGAACCTTTCTGTTTGGGACCATTTTGTCTGGGACCATTTTGACCGGTTAAAAACTGCATTTGTGACGACGTAGCTACTATGGTGTTTCACAAAGGAAAGATACTTATCAGATTTGTTCATGCTATATTTGGTCTTAAAAATGAGAAAATACAAATATTTCAATATGGTTTTGATGTTGCTGTGTTGTCTTTGTCCTACGTGATTATTACTGATTTAATCTTCACTTCAAAATGCTCTTCGAACTCAAAAGTACTACAGTCTGTTACAGGTTAAGAAACGTTCTTGAAAGAAACGAAGGCTGGGGACGAGGAAGCAGACGGAACGCTGGAGAAAGGAGGAGGTTTCCTCCTCTCCTTTCCCGCATTTTGACTGGTTCCTCCTTCCCAGTCTTCCGTTTCCTCGCCAACTTTTCTTAACCCGTAACTGACTATTTTTATCTTAAAATTGACGCATCCAGAAAACAAATTTGGTTCACACATGAATCCCACGAGAATTACTTTTCTGCCACGGATGCGCAGTTGCTTTCGCTTATTTATTAGTCACACCTCGACACCAGACCTTATGTGAAATTCATAATAAAAACAGCGCAAAAAAGACGGGACAAAAAGACGAGGAAGCACACAGGACAAGCGCTAACTTGCCGCCAACACTCAGACTTCAGGATCTTACAAATTCTCTTCCAATGCCCGATGGACGGACCCAAGGCACCAAACAACGAAGCAATGTCCGGTGGGCACTGTCCTTTCCGAAGACAGTAGGCAAGGCACCTGCCCTTGCATTGGAAGAAAATTTGTAAGATCCTCAAGTCTGAGTGTTGGCGGCATTAAGTTAGCGCTTGTCCTGTGTGCTTCTTCGTCTTTTTGTCCCGTCTTTTTTGCGCTGTTTTTAATATGAATGTCCATTACCAACTTGCCCAGCAGACCAAGCTTTTACAATACATTTCTTATGCGAAGCTTTCGTTGCTGTTCTTTTATTCGGTTCGTGCTTTGTTTTAATCCGGTTTAAGCCAATAGAACGGTTTACCGCCTGCGGCAATCGGTCTCATATTTTTTTTTAATGCGAAAAATGTGAGGCTATGTTGACCAGTGAAAGATTTATACACAAATTTGCGAAAGTTAGAAATTAAACACAATAATTGAAGGGATGGTGCAGAATCTAGTTGGAATGTTTCATGAAGGGCGAAGTACAAACTAAAAACAAGAAAGGCAAACAAATAAACCAAAGACCGACGAACGTCTTAACGTTTGCGTTGGGGTTTGATTGGCCCCATCAGCTTGAAATGTGAGCTGAATTCTGACTTATGGCAAAGCGAAACATAGCTCCAAAGAAAACCCTCTTCCCAGCCGACGTTTTGCAAATAAATTTAGTTTCCTTCGAAAAATCAAACTCCCCTAGCGAAACATCGTCTGGCTCAGTAAAACATTGCATGCTCCTCTGAAGAGCTTTATTAATAAAGTCCCTTCCCCAGTTCTAGCCACCAACCTCCTCTACAGCGTGACCCCCCCCCCCCCTTTTCCTAAAAAAAAAATAAACAAATATATAAATAAATAGTGTTTTCTTATTGCAGAAATGAACTATGTATCGCCGAACACTCATTCTCCACCCAAATGTATGGCTAGTGGCCAGAACCAGATGCCAAACTTTCAGCGCCAACTGTCATCTTACTCGAAAGTTAAGAGTGAAGAATTTCAATGGGGAAATGTTACTAATTTTTGCCCATTGTCGGTAACTGGCGTCATAAAACTCCATGTGCTTTGTCGGCCGCCATCTTCCCATAGAAAATTTAAGAAGATCGCTGATAACCCTCGAATAAAATAATGGTTGGTGCTGAAACTTCGGCATCCGGATCGGAACGCTAGTGCTATATTTGGACGAGGAACGAGCGGTCGGCGACGCGTAGTTCATTTTAAAAAACAACTTGTAAATGATTTTGGGACATTCAGTACTTTAGTGTTTCGTTAAAACGACTCACCTAAGGCTATGTGTACCGGTTCCGGCTTCCCGAAGCTGTAGTCGAAGGCGCCGTCTACGTCGGACATCATGACTTCGTCGGGCGACGGCCCGTGGGTCTTGCCGCGAGTCCAGGCCCCGATGGGAGTTGTTGGCACGGTTGTCGGCCCCGCGGATGACTTGGGCTCTGTTGGGTTGACCATCGGCTCCAGGGGCACGTCATGAATGCTGTGGTAGTGGTGGTGCTTGATGACCACCTTGGGCAATATACTCTCCTGGGACTGCCTCTTCTTCAGGGACTGGTACAACCAGTCGAAACAGTCCATGCCTGCGAAGAACAACGGGAGAGATACTGTTGCGGACGAAATAAAAATGTCAATAAGCAGGCGAGATGGTTTAAGTCGCGCTTACTTAAAACCGGAGACGACAGACATAAAGGGACAATTGAGACGTGCGGTCCTTACCTTTGGGATAGTTGGTAGTCTAACATGTTGAGGTATTTAGCGCACAAACTAGAAAGAAGAAAATGAGAAAAATAGTTTTTTTTCTCTCCTGTACTTCTTCTTTACTTTGTGCGTTAAATACCTCAATATGTTGTCCTTACCTTTTATTTCCGCCTTCTCCGGTTTTAAGTATGAAAAACTTGATGACAAGTTCATTTCTCCGCTCGTTGATGTCACCTACCAGTATGGTAACCATGGTAACTAATATGATCAGAACGGTGTTGCTCTTCTTTCAGATGCCGGCCTTCTTTCAGATGCACGCCCTCGTATAGTTCTGTCGGGCTTTGGCTGCGCGTGCACGCTCGAATATCAAGAAACGCCGTCATCGAAGGTGGGAATTAAACTCGTTTTGGGGGGGGGGGGGGGGGGGGGACTCAAAAAACTCCTTGCCGTTCTCATCCTGTCGGTGAATATTGACGACGTGTGCGACCAGAGCGTCCCTCTCGTCGGCTTTTCACGACTGGCCAAACACCCACTACGAAATTTTGAAAATGACTAATTTTGCTTTCATCGACGTAGATAAGAGAACAGCGTTTCCCTGAACCCTTACTGTCGACTATGACGTTGTGGTTTAAGAATGCGATGACTCAATGCTTTCATCGCGATTTTTACTCACGCCATCGAACTGGTAGTTCGCAAGTGATGGTAAGTGACCAGTATTACAACTAGTGACGTCACGGCGTGGCAAATCCTGGTTGTGAAGTCACGAACGGAATTTATAACAGAGAGCCACCGAAACATGTCGGCGCTGATAGGAGGAAGCGTTCTCTTTATGAGTGGGATACCTTGCATCATTTGTCAGTGGTCATCACTGATCTCTATGGCTATTTGCTGGATCGCGTTTGCCCACTCCGCGAATGCGGCCACTGGTGGTCGTCTTTTTGGTCGAGTTATATTACCTCTGGCCACACCGTAGTATGGTGGCGCAATCTACCGCCCGCTAGATACGGTACAGCTGGTGCAGCCGCTATCATTCGTATATGGCAGACAGCATTGTGGCGGTTGTGGTGGCAGGCTGCGATAAAAATAGCCGTGGGTGATATTTCGTGCTTGATTGAAATTGTTCGACGAAACATTTTGTTGAAACCTGGCGTGAGCTGTAGCCTGATCTTTAAAGACCCGGGGAAAGTTTCACAAAATCACAGCGCCGGGGAAAAGCAGCACGGCCCGCATCGAAAGCGGATTTGGGCGATGGCGGGGCGCACACACGCTTTTGCGTATCTCCGGCTCCTCTTATGTCTTATAGCACTAGTGCGCCCTCGGCGAAGGGGCCGCCGTCATCGATGGGCTTTGAACATCTGCTGGCACGCCTGTGGATAATAGCAGACTCACCAAGCTTCAACTCACTTTGTTTAAATGCATTTTATTTAGAACGTCGCGGGTCAATATATGCTACAAAAAATATATAAATCATACACGGGCACATCGGCTCATAAGTTTGTGGAGCGACCCCGGTGAATATATACACTCGCGAGAATTCCCCAAATGATCGCGAGCACATCCACAGCGTCTCTTGATCTGTATCCAAGCGTTCGGGAGTACAAGACTTCACCACCTGTCAACAATGTTGAACCGCGGAGGGGCCCATTCCCGGTACGGCGTCTGCTTTCGATGCGAACTGCGCTGCTTTCCTTCGGTGCTGCGCTTTCGTAAAACTTTCGCCGGGTCCTCAAAGATGGGAGCTACCGTTCACGCCGGGTTTAAAAAATCTGCTTCGTCGAACAACTTCAATCAAGCCCGAAGTATCACCTACGCTACTAGACCCACGGCTATTTTTATGGCAGCCTGCCGCCATAGCGCTGTCCGCCATATTACTATGATGGCTAGAAATAATATAACTCTACCAAAAAGCTGGCCGACCGTGGCCGCATTCCCGTCCATAGCGGAGCTGGTCAAACGCGTTACAGCAAATAGATATAGAGATGCGTAATGGTGATGTACACTGATTTTACACGCGACCGCCACGTAGAGCTAACTTACCCCCGAATTCATAGATGTGACTTGCTCTGAAGTCGAGCTTCAACTTGCTCAAGTCCGTCTTGCGACGAGCAAGCGCGCTTCATAAACGCGCCTTAACTTGAACCGATCTTGAACGGAGCTTGAAGCGAACTTGAAGTGCCCAAATTTCAAGACTGGGTTGGACCTACCTTGAACGCGACTTCGTAGTCATTTCAACATGGCGGCTTGCTGATGTGATGTCGCATATGGGATCGCCGCGTTCAATATTTGTGTCCTGTAATTGCCGTGTTGCCCTCGGTCACGGGTATTTTTCGCCGAGAGAAGCGGCCATTCCTCCGTGATCGAATGCACCCCACCGGGATGTGCGACAACGAACGGCAACGGCGCGGGAGCTGCTCGGCCGCGACTTGACCGCCTGATCCGAACGGCGACAACAGGCGGCTGCCGCTGATAGCCAAGCTACAGTTGCTCGTCACGCTGCGACGTTTGCTGGCAGGATGCTTCTAGCTGTCAACATTTCACAACGGACGGCGCGCGGTGCAATCGGGAGAGTGACGCGTCTCACCGTAAGGCATCTGTCGCTCGGACTCGTCCACGTCCCCGGCGCTCCCGAAATTCTCCGCCTCCTTCGAGTAACCGGGTTCACGCACGCGTGTATCAAAAGCCCGGGTCCCGATGGCGATTATGCAGACATTTATGAGAACTTAAGAGCAGTTGTCTGCATAAACTACCCAGGTAGGTTCCCCCGTTTACCGAAAATAAACAAGCCTCCAGAGCTTCTGACGCAAAGAACCTGAACAAGCATGTGCAGTGTGCACGCACGTTTACTGATGCAAGCTCTTGACCTAACGTTTTCTGTATGCATACTAGCAGTTGTTAAAAACAAAATCGCCGAAAAAATACAGGGACACAGACAAAGGGAAACAGGACAAGGCACCTTGCCCTGTTTCCCTTCGTCTGTATCCATTCATTTATCGGCGCTTTTTGTTTGCAATGAACCAACTGGCCCAAATCTCCACTTTATTGTAGTAGCTATTCTCACTTTTGTGTTGTTTGTGCTGGATTACTTGTTTAAAAAATGACGTGTAGTATGAACTTGCCCCTTGCGTCAGTAAAATAAATATGGAAAATCAGGAATGCCTTCTAGTTTGGTACTACCATGCATTTCAAGTTCTCAAGTTATCTCTGAATGGTCAAATGGCTGCTTAGAACAAGATTGGTCATATATAGCTGCTGAAAACTCACTCTGATTCCCCCCCCCCCCCCCCCCATGTACAGATTCTACATTTTACAGATGCCACACACTTCACCAATTTTTTGTTCCAACAAGTTTTGACGTGTTTTATTACTGTATTTGTGCACTAGCTGTTCACCACAAAACATACTTCTCGAATTACATCTTACATGAAGTTTGTCGAAGAAGGGCTTTGCTGAAAGAAAGCATACCTTCTTTTCCTAAGATTTCTGCAACATTTCACAAATGGATGTGCCGAAAGCATTGTTTAGCACTGTGCTGATGAGTGCTTACCAACTCTCCCCGAAACAATATCTAATGAAACAATAGCCACCGGTTTAATTTTTTTTTGCTCCAAAAGATTTATTACTATGCACAGGTTTGCACCAAGCTCGATTCGAGGGCACAACACTTTTGTGTCCACTCCACAATCAAAATACTATTGCCTCGTGAAAGAAAAAATACATCACAATTCTTCCAGTGCAATAAAGACAAAATGAGTTGACCTTTTTTATGATCGTTCACTCACACTAAACTTCACACCCATGCACATATTATCTGCATGCAACCTCCATAATGAAGATGTTGGGATGATAATTTGCCAAATTCTTGAAAACATCATATATTGTCTCTCCGACTCGTAACATTTATTAACTCATTCAGGTACAACACCACCCAGATAAAGACTCGCAACACTGCTGAAAGAAAAAGACGATCCCCATGCCTCGCTGTGTAGTTTAAATCATCACTCCGTGCGCAGCATCACGTAACCTAGGGAAAACGAGCCATCCTTGCTGCTCTGCCAGTCATACCAGCCAGGGGATAATGTTGAGAAGATCAGTGCAACTGCTAGCTGAAAGGGGAAGAAAAACAAGCAGACTGAAGCCAGGGTGGTACTGTATAGATAGGTATGGTGCCTGGAATGCATCTCCGACTAGTGTGTCTACTGTGTCCAAAGAAGTAATCCCTCAATTTCTGCCCGGTGCATCATACAAGTGTCATGATGTCGCCGGTCGCAATCCTGGCGGTGTCCCAGCAGCGGTGGTTGATGTGGCAGACGCCTGTTCTACTGCAGGTCGCTCTACAGTTCGACAGTCCACTGAAGCTTCAGCATCCAGTAGTTGGGACGCCGTGACGACAGCGACACTCGCGTTCGCCTCGTGGTACTCGCAGCTGCTCTTTAACGTTTCAATGGCCAACCGCCAGGATCGCAACATGCAACAGCGTGACACTTCGGCTTCCGTGACGTCATTTGTTGCCACTTTCGGACCACTTTTCATGTACGGGCAGCAAAGGACGCTAAACACACCAGTCGAAGACTTGCTCCAGGCACCATACTCGTCGGGTAGTTGAAATTATCACTCCGTGCACAGCATCACATAACCTAGGGAGAATGAGCCATCCTTGCTGCTCTGCCAGTAATGCAGCCAGGGGGCAATGTTGAGAAGATCAGTGCAACTGCCACCTGAAAGGGGTAGAAAGACAAGCAGACTAAAGCCAGAGTGCTACTGTATAGGACCCCCCTTCCTCGTGGCACCAATGAAATGGGGATAATACGTATGTTGCACGGAGTGCAGATTTTTAAACTTTTGAGCACATAGTGAGCCACAGTTCATTAATCACAATCAGTCATTTTTAAAATTCCTAACTGAAATGCTTTGTCTAACTGATGTTTATGACTAAATTGAAAATAAATATGATATGATTTATGCTTTGCTTGGGCATAATGACCTAAACCTGAAGCAGTGGAAATAAGATAAAGATGAAGCTGGAGTATGCAAAGCAACCATCCATTTCATGTGTACACCTCCCTCCATCCTCGTCTTGTTTGCATTTTCGTGATCTTCTAAATCATTAAGGGATCATGCTTTTTTTTCATTATTTTACAAGTTATTTTCTCTTTGATTTTTGCATTTCTAAGTGGCATGTCTTGTGAATGCTGTGCCCTGCGTGTTTCTTTCCCCAATGAAAATACCCATTCTCTTTTCTTGATTGTCTTTAGAACTAATGTGAACCCTGTGCTAAAACTATGGTGGAACGTATTGCTTCCTCTGTTTCTGTTTCATTACTCGCTGCACCCTCAGAAATGCATGAGCCTCAATACTGCTGTCCCACTTCCGAAATAAAAGAATTTGAATGGCTGCAACCTGTGCATTAGCCTCCTTGTTTGTCTTGTAATCATGAAACACTGCCGACATAAAACCTGCAAAAAGGGAATGGCTCAAGCTCTTGACAAACAAACATACAGACCAGAGCTGCTTATTTAGATACATATCCCAACATGCGGCACTGACGGGCAAACACAAAATAATTTTCTGGAGGTGGCACTGCGCATCTAGAGGCCCTGAAAGACTCCAAGTTTTGTTTACAGAGAGCTGAGATGCTAAATTATAAAAAAAAAATCATTCTCACCAACCTCGTATAGCCTACAGCAAATGCTGCACATACATTTGGCAGTTGAGGAAAATGGAAGGAGCGCAAGCTTGTGCTTATATCTAGGAAACAACTGTGCCGGTGAACAAATTCTCTCCCAGTGGTCCACATTGAGTGCATTTCAGTCGTCAGTTTAAAATTGTGCACAAATAACGTAGAAAGGAACAGAGGAGAGAGAAGAGACAAGCACAGCCTGCAGAAACAGCTCAAGCCGAGGTCACACCGGCCTCGGCTCGAGCTGTTAGTGCAGGCTGTTCTTTTTTCTTCCGGCCTCGGCTCGAGCTGTTACTGGAGGCTGTTCTTTTTTCTTCCTTCAATACATCGAATTGTGAGTTTGTGCTTGTCTCTTCTCTCTCCTCGGTTCCTTTCTATTTGTGCACAAATTTAACCATGTTCAATCATTACCAACTCACCCAACCAACCACCTTAATTCAGTCATCAGGTTTTCAAGTTTATGCAAATTTTCATAGTCACTGAACAGCCTTCCCAGGGTGCTTATATATTTCCAAGTTTAGACGTTGTGCGGGTCGTCAGCTTGTGAATGCAAACTAGTGTGTCACAAGCTTCATAGATGTGTGGTGCAGAAGAAAAACAATGTGACGAGGACACGAGAGGAGGGCCATGGTCGTAACAAAAACGGCTCGGGTCATAAATGACTTCCTATTAACAATTGCAGTGGTGCGAGCATTTACTGCCGTAGATAAAGATGTTCGAGCAGCCAAATAAACACGGCACTGAAGAGTACAGTGACGAACTGATGGTTGTCGCTGAACTCGACAAACGATCAGGGTGTCACAGTTGTCTTGAAACAGTCTGGCATACGTTTTTATGAACAGGTAGAATGTCTAGCCATACTGAAACATGCCATACCGATCTTTGGAACAGTTTGTCGCATGCAGACTTGGGCAGCCACAACTTTTCAATCAGTGAAGCAACTGCAGCTCTGAGACATGGTTGCACAGGTGGAAGAGCGATGAGCGGCCTTCCACATTCAGACGACAGTAGGCCATAAAAGCAAATTTCTGCAGTCACATCAGCGGGAAGAGATGCTTTCTGCTGTTAGTCCACTCGCTTGCAGCGTTGCTAACAATGATGTGGTGCTCCCAGGCATCATGGTCACTCATTTATGAGAAGACAATGGGTACCGACCTGTAATGCTCAATAGACATTTAACAGGAAGTCGCCCAAGCCCTAAAGTGCCCTTTTACGGCACCAAATACATGCAGCTGCATTCAACAGCTTGAGCGCTTTACTCGTGTCTTCGTTACTTCGTCTTCCTCCTGCTCAACAGAGGGTTCCCCTTCCTACCAGTGCACCGTTGGCTGCAGCAGCACACTTACTCACTGTAGACGGGGGGCACATCACTGTGGACAGGGGGCACAACATGACAATGCTCGTTTACTTGCCTGGAAATTATGTCCAGCCCAGACCGCATCCACTGGCTGAAAAAGCAGTCCCCTTCCTAAAAAAAAGAAAAGTTTATGTAAGGCACTTATATGAAATATACAAGATGTAACCACAAAGCTAATATTTCCTAAGGTGCTACTCCTGCTCCTGGACATTATCTTTAGGAAGGAGACTTCTGAAAATCATATAAAATGGTTCGACTTCAATCCATGACTGTCACAAATGAGAGAGTGGCAGCGTCGAGACTATTTACAGCCGAAACGATCAAATAGAAATTAGAAAAATTACAGTTTCAAAGAGAGCTTTCTTGATTACAAAAGGTGAACAACCCTGCCTCTGCGCACCAAACATCAGTGACAGTTCCACCGCCTCATGAACAACATGTTCCGGGCCTGTGTTTTTGCCCGCGAAAGCCCGACGAGGTAAACATAGCTGCGAAAACTATGATGCCCGGTAGCTACTTACTGGTTTCGATCACCGAAAGCACAGGCACCGCGCCCAACGCTTTATGTAGTGGCGCCCATTAAAACAAGCCTTTGTAGAAACATGTAAGCAACACAAAATAACATTTAAAACAGCCGAAAGAGCGCTTAGGCCAGGCCGCATAGTTTCCAGTTTACATATCCGAGTACTACGCCGCATAGTTTGCATTAAGGAAATGTTGTAAAAACACTTACCTGCTTTGAGCACCGCTTCAATTCGTAGTCATTTTCCTTCCGCATCGGGAGTTACAAGCGCTTTTTCGTTATTAGAGTCCCGTAGGAAGATCCTATGAGGATTTTAAACTTTCTCGTTGAGGCGCGTGTGGACACGGCACCGGAGTCGGCCACTCACTCGAATAGCTTTTCATTCTTGTTGAACCCAGATAAGCATTCGTTTCTTGTCTTCAGTGAATCCTAGTTCAAGCTTCTCCCGAGTTTTCATAATGAAGGAGACGTCGAAACTCACATGACGCCAAATATGTCCACAAGCGAGGGACGCCAACGAGCGAAACGAAAAGAAACAGGCCAGGAGCCATCGCTCAAATTGAGCCAACGTTGCTAGACGGAAAAGCGCATTTGTCTAGAAAACGCGTACAACGTTAGTTTCGAAACCTGCGAAACAGCATCTTTCATGATTTGCGTTTCGTAAAGACATCCCATGAAGAAAATTTTAAGAAGCAACTCCTTTTTGACGTGTGAAACTCTTTTTAAAAGAAAAATTGCAACCTAATCTCGCTCCCAGGCGGGGAGCAGCGCGAGCGCTCGCGACTTGAACGGGACTTGACGAAGGAAGTTCGCGGGAGCGTCTATGAAACGTAAAAGCCAGCTTGGGCGTTTTCAAGTCGAACTTGGTGTTGAGGCGGACTTGAGCAAGTCGAAGTTTGGCTTCAGTTGAAGTCACATCTATGAATTCGGGGGTTAGTTTATTTTTGCCCAGAGCCTTACGATCTCAAGGGTGTGGTTTACCACCGCAGTTGATCTCTGCCTTGGCCTTTCGTCCCTTGAGCCTCTCGGTGATCTCGTCGTCGCAGAAGTTGAACGGCTGGCAGAGGGAGAGCGACACGTCGTAGAACCAGCGCTGGTTGTACGGCATCCGAATGGCGCCGTCCCGCTTCCGGCGACAGATGTCGCACAGGTCGCATGCTCCTGGACCGCGCCAGTAGAGCGAACGGAAAAATGAGCAGGACAACTGGACACGGTGGTTTCTGTCATTTTTTGTTTCTTCTACTTGCCTTTAAAGAACACTAGGCCTGCACTGACGTCGCACCAATTCCCATTGTGGCGGCTTTGATGCTGAGCGAATACCTTCTGCAGCTTACATACATATCGTCCCACGGTTCCCACCGAATAGACCTTTTGCTGAATTGCCCAAGCATCAAATAGAATGTCCGGAACATAGGTACACACGCTGCACTCGCAGGCGCCTGTAGCAAAAACTGTTACAAAGGAAAATTACAAAACATATGACACTTTGCACGTGCGTACCTCGACGGGTTCTTTTTTTTTTTTTTTTTTGAAACAGAGAATGCAATTACGTGCAGTGCCTGTGTCCATGTTGCCAGCATTCTCCTTGGTGCTTGGGTAATTTAGCGAAGGTCTATTTGCTAGTCTCGGCAAGAACAATTAGGGAAGACCGCTAGCATAGCGCGATGACGTACCGTGCAAGTCGTGAATGGTGGTCGTCTTTAGCTCTGTTTCAGCAACATCCGGGGAATTCTCTCAGTTTATTTCGGGTATGAAGTAGGAACAAGAGCAGGCGACATAGCGGCTCAAGCCAGCCAAACGAGAAAGTCCTGAGTGGACCCCGAAGTAAAGGCCGGTGGCAGCGCCCCCAAAGGTGACCACAGCGGCTGTACTTTCTGTACAATGGCGTCTTGTAGTGTTGGTCATCGCTGAGGGCGTATCCCTTCAAACCGGAGTTCTCCCCCAGCTTAACCTCTGGTGGCGTCATGTCGCCTCCAGAAGCTAAAAAATACGAGAGAGCGCTTGCACGCGCCAGAAGATACAAGCGAGAAAAAAAAATTGGGTTGTGTGTATGTTTTTACAGCACAGAACTTGGTCTGACACAACAGGCGACGAGCTGTAGATGAGCAATTTAGCTAGAACAGTACAACCGCTAGCCTGGGCCGCACCACGCAGCAGTGATATACGACCGCACGCCGGTACGATGCTCATCCGGATCGAAACGGGCAGGGGTGGGGGTTGAACCCGGGATGCTGAGTTCTGCAGCGTGAGCTTTCGCTCCACGTGCTCCGAGCTGGTGTGCGCTAGCCCACTCGGCCACCGATTCCCCTCAGCCAGCCTCACAAGCACAAAAGCCTGCGAACGCTGTGCGCGAAGATGTTTCGGATAAGTGCGATATGTGATGAAATCTCCGCGTTCGGGCGCCTCAAATGTGCATTTGTAAGGTGATGGTGACGATACTGAGTTTTATATTTGAGATACACGCGTGGAATTTTCTGAATACGCATTATTTCAAGCGGAAATTGTCAGGCTTCGGTAAGTGTTGGTATCGTGGGTGAGTCTGGTGGCAATCCGAGACATAACCGTAAAGATTTATTATGTCCAGCCTGGAGATTCTTCATGTTGCTCGCGCATGTGTGAAGTACGGGTAATGAATATCGCAGCAAGCCATTCACGAGAGAATTTGGTAATCTGAGCATGGAATATGATGATTTATCCCAGGATCTACTGATCAAACAGCGAAGAATATGACACGCGGAGTCTATCTTTTTCCTCAATTGCTTGATGTGGGGTGTCCATGTCAGGTTTCTGTCAAGAGTGAATCCCAAAAATGTGTGTTGGGAAGCATAAGAGATCAATTTTCCTGAAAGTACTAAAGGAAATTTTTTTTTATTGACATGCGTGTGAAAGCCATTGCTACTGTTTTTTTTTTTTTTTCAGGTGAGAGGCTGAGTCCGCGTGAATGGAGGAAATTACTGATTATTCGAAGGGCCTGTTGAAGCTTCCTTTGAGAGATAAATCGATTTCAGTTAGTCGTCCATATGCAAACATCATCTGCATAGATAGTAATAAGCAACATCTACCTTGGGGTAGATGTTGCACGAGTGATATCGGACTTAAATTGAATAGTGTTGGACTAAGGACGCCACCCTGTGGGACACCCATACTAACAGTATGATAGGAGGTGCAACCTTCCATTGTATCCATGAATATAGTTCTTTCAGACAGGTAATCTTGGATCCATGCGTATATTGGCCGCCGATTCTGTGTTCAGATAAAGCCGTTTATATGGCAGAGTGTTGAATGCAATCGAACGCTTTGCTAATGTCGAGAAAGATTGCTATTGTGGTTTGCATTTGTGATATGCCATGTTATACACAAGTAACTAGGTCTATTACATTATCTGCTGCTGACCGCCCAGGTCTAAAACCAGACATCACTTCAGGGTGTACGTTCTTAGTTTCTAGGTACCAATTGAGCCTTGTAAGTATCATTTGTTCCATAACTTTTCCTATTCGCGACTCCAGCAAAACGGACGCCACCAAGCGGGAAAACCGGGAACCAGCCGGACCAGGTCGCTCCGCGCCCCTCCGCGTCTCTGGTGGCTTTCGCGAACACGTGTTGTCGGCGCGGTGGCGAACAATGTAATTTGAGGAAGGTACGAAAATTTCTTAAGTTTGCTGAGTGTTCATTAGTGTGGTGAAGCCTCAACAGATTGTTTCTTTCGCATCACGTGTCTGAAAGTCCGTTTACTCCACAACTCACGGTAGCGTGTTTTCGATTTCTTGGATGGGGAGGAATCACGGAAACACGTTTTGATTTCTTATCTGTTTCGAATCGCGTTTAAAGTGACGACTACTTGGTAACTGATAAGTGGTTTCTTTATAAGGATGTATAACAGTGGACTGAGGACGACGGACGAGGTGTTTCACTGGAGGGAACACCAATGTTGCAGTCAAGTCAATTGGAAGGTTCGATAGCTGCTTTTCTTGAGTTTGGTTGTGTTCGATTAGCTTCAAGGTTTGAGCCACTCACGCCGGTTTGTGCGTTGGCCATTCATCTTGGCTGCTTTTCGCCAAAAAAGCCTCTGGACCACACCGAAGAAGTTGGGCTGACTTCGCAATTACTTGGTTCAGGAAACCCTGCTCGCCACATATGATTAATGAGGGAAATTATCTGATTTCAAAAGGTGGGGGTGAAATTATCTCACAAAGTTATAAGCTGTCATGGCATTATGATCTATCGCGCCTCCAATATTTATATTATACCCCCGTCGAAGCCAGCAGCAATATACGTCTACATTGCTCAGGTTGACCGGCCACAAAAAATACTCATTTTCTCTGTTCAAGATTCAAAGTCAAGTCCAATGCAGAGAGGTTCTGCGTGAATCTCCGATGAAGACTTTCTTCAGTTTGTCATCATTCGTCTCCGTGCTACCGGCTAGGACCATTCGGCTGAGTTTAAGTAGTATCTCTCTGTCTGTCAAATATACTTTTATTCAGCAGTTCACCTAATAGCTAGTCAACTAAGCTCATATTTCAACCCGAAGAATATATTAATATTGCTTTAGTGGGACATAGTACTTAATATAGTACATAACCCGCATATTCGTCAAAATGACTTCTCGATTGCTACTAAAACCTGAATTGAAATACGAGTATCAGCTGCTTAGTGGGGCGACAGCGGGTTAACATGCTCCTCGGCTCAAGAAGTGCTTGCTTAATTTTCGTAATAATCCTGCAGCCTGTGTTGTTGACCGAGCAGACGACTGGAGCTGTTTCTTAAACGCGGATACGCACAAAAGCTCGTTTTCGCGGGAGACAAGTCGCATGGTCGAGGCATGCGAGTTAGCTGAGAATTACTCTCGGTGGAACAATTCTGTAGTCATCGCCACTTTCCTTAGCTGATCAAAACTGATTAGAGTCTGTTACCGTCCCTCCGAAGCCCATAGTTTCGGTTTTGAACGAAATCTCCGAAACAAAGGTTTGACATAAAAAAAAAAAAAAAAAAAAAAAACACCGGGAAAACAAAACTATGTTCTGCAGGTTTATGTGCACCGGCTACACTTAACCGTCACAGTTCAGATACCTAAATTGGGTATTAAACAAAAGAAAATCTGTTAAATTGTATGCGCCACCCGTTCAAGTGGCCCGGCCGAGCCGACGCGACCTGGACCCAGCCGCCATGTTTGTTTGGTGGTGGCGCCCCCTATAGGTCACTGGAGTCGCGAATACAACTTGTGAGAGCGATTGGTTTGTATGATCTCAAATGTAATTGAGAATGCCCCGATTTCAATATAGGCATAATCTTGGCTCTTTTTCATTCAGTGGGGACAGCTATTTGTAAAGGATGTGCTGAATACTTCAAGCGATCTACGCCGTGGGGCGTTCTTCAGTCGAGGAAGGGCAGCATACGTCACTCCATCAGGACCAGGCGAAGATTTTTTCTTGGTATTTTGTAGCGCGCTGTCAAGTTCACTCAGTGTGAATGGCTGATCGAGTCTGGAGTCAACTTGCACGGGAGTTTTGTGTGGTTTATTATTGTCTATAGCTGCGCTGTCTGGTATTAGTTTGCAATGGGACTCAGCGATCTCGAGCTCAATGCAGTGTTCTCCTAGAGCTCTGAAAGGGTAGCGTTGGTGGAGTGTCTGACGTCTAATTCCACGATCTATTCGCCACATTTTGACAAGGCTGTTTTGGGCGATGCACATAGTTCTCGCCATGATTTCCGCGCAAGGAAACCTAAATGGCGTCTGACCTTCTTTTGTGCTCTCCTTTCAGCTCGACGATCTTCAAGAGTCTTTGTTCTTTTTGCTTTTCTTTCTGCTCTTCGCCTGATCGCTCGTAGTTTCTCGTACTCTGAATCTATATCATTTCTGTCAAAGGGCATTGTTGTTTAGAATGTAGATTTTTTTAAGCATTCTTTTAATGTAGGTCCGAGTTCTTCATCCAACGTGGTGGCGGTAATAGACTCGTTTACAAGTTCAGTAAAAGTTTCCCAGTTTTTGGCAGCCAAAGTATGAGTCTTTTTGCGCTGAATAAATTCATTATATAATATTACAAGCGGCATATGGTCACTTCCTCTACTTTCAAGGTCAGTAGTCCAGCGAACATTATGGTAGTGCTCCGCTGATACGAAAGTTAGGTCTAGTGCGCTGCTGATCTCTCCCCTGCGAAAAGTTG